TTTATTTGGGAAAAGAGATTAAAAACAGAACTATCTTTTTAGAATAGTTTTAGATTTGTAGAAAAGTTGAGCAAACAGTAGAGTTCCTATCCCTGACACATTTTTCCTTATTAACATTTTATTAGTCTGTTGCGTTTGTTACAATGAATGGGCCAGCGTTAATACATTGTCACTGTCTAAAGTGCATACAAGGAGCACTGGTGGTGCAGTTCATTAAGTGTCTGAGCTGCTAACTGAAAGGTCAGTAGTTCTAATCCACCTGCTAGCCCATGGGAGAAAGGTGAGTCAGTGTGCGTCTGTAAAGATGTACAGCCTCAGAAGCCCCAGGGAGCAGGTCTCCTCTCCCCGCAGGGTTGCTGTGAGTAAGAATCCACTTAATGGCACTGAGCTCAGAACCCACACTCTGTTTAGATTTCCTTAGTTTTTACTTAGTATCCTTTTTGGATTCTGGGACATCATACTCATTTAGTTCACATATGAGAGGGTACCCCCACCCCCCAAAACATGGAAAAAGCTCCGCTGGTTGGAGCTTTTGTAGTATACACCATTTTCCTGATAGGTGAGCATTGAGCAACTTGCTGTGAGTGAGTGCACCCAGTGGCATCAACTGGGAAAGTTCTCTCTGGTCACAGCAAACTTTTTCCTAAAAGGAGTTCCACTCAAACCTCGTGTATTGTGATGGTTGATTTAAGAAACAGCATGCGGCTGTGAAATTTTGTTTCCTGCTTGGGAAAAATGCTGTAGAAACGGTTGTGATGTTGAACAGAGATGACAAGGACAGCGCTATAGGGAAATCTCAAGTATATAAGTGGTTTTATCATTTCAAAAAAGGTGAAAAGTCAATTGGCGAGCCTCGTTTTAGATGTCTGTCAACTTCCTAAACCGATGAAAATGTCAACAAAATTCATGCACTTGTCAAGTTTAGAGAGCAATGATGGACCATTAAAGAGACAGGGAAATTATCTGGACTGTCTTGGATCTCAGTGCAGTGAATTTTAATGGAAGATTTGGGAATGAGAAGGATCACTTTGAAGTTTGTGCCCCAGGTTCTGACTGACCAGTAAAAATAGAAAGAAAAAAACAAACATGCTGTTCTTTGAAAGAACAGCCCTGAAGCTACTCAGACTTTCCCCCCCACGGTCATTACTGGTGATGAGACATGGTGCTATTCTTACAACCCCAAAAGCACACATCAGTCAAGCCAGTGGAAGACTCCATTGTCGCCTCACTCAAAAAAAGTTCATCAAATGAAATCAAAGATCAAGATGATGCTCATTTGTTTTTTTGATGTGAGGGGGATAGTGCATTTGGAGTTTGTTCCACCAGGTCAGACTGTTAATCAAGCTTTCTATTTAGAGGTTCTGAAAAAATTGCATAACAGTGTGCAACAAAAAAGGCCTGATATGTGGGAGACAGAGGACTGGTTTTGCAACCATGACTGTGTACCTGCTCACGCAGCCATCTCAGTGCACCAGTTTGGGGCAAAAACCAGCATGCCTCTCTTGGCCCAGGCACCTTACTCACTTGACCTTGCTCTGTACGACTTCGTTTTGTTTCCTCGAATGAAGAGGGACATGAAAGGACAGTGATTTGAAGATAGACGAGGTGAAGAAACAAATGAGGCAGGTGTTGTCAGTCATCCAAGCAGATGAGTTTGAAAAATGTTTTCAAAACTGGGATCGTAGTTTTGATCAATGTACTAAGTGTAATGGAAAGTACCTTGATGGTGATAAGGAGGTTTGGTTAAAAAAAAATTAAATACATAGGGGTGGGGATTCCAGAATTTTGGGGTACTCCCTAGCGTGTCCTTGGGTTCTTCTCACTGTGACCATTTCACAGCCTACTTTTGTTTCATGACCTTGACAGTTTTTCTTTTTTGTTTGTTTTAATCATTTTATTGAGGGCTCTTATCACAATCCACACATCCATCCATTGTGGACTTTGACAGGCGTTTCATAGAATGTTCTGCTATTGTCATGGGTTTGGCGTTTTTCTCATGGCGAGCATGTATCCTGATGTGATGTACTGAAAAATGGCATTTTAACTTTATGGGTTTTGAGGAGGACACCCACAGAGGGGAGGTGCTAGTGTTATTACATCATATCAGGGACACAACCCTCAACATGAGTGCTCATTGTTGGTGTTGACCTTGATCACTTGGCTGGGGTAGTGCGGATCAGGTTTCCCCATGGTGATGCTGGTGTTCTGGTCTCCCCTTCCATACTAGAAAAGAATCCGGTATGTGCCGCTCACGTTTGCACAAGTATGGTAACACTGAAGGAGCTACATCAGTTATGTGGATGTTTGGTGATGCCTCTTAGATTGCATCAAAATGTTCATGTGAAGAATTTTTGTCAAATTGTCATATTCCCACATTCTCAAAGGTGCCTTATTTTTAGCTTTAGATTATTTTTAGGTTGGAGCTTGCTGAGTGGCCTACCTTTTATAATTCCTCTGAGGCTGTGTTCTAGTTAATGCATTAATTAAATGCACCCATCCTTACAAGCTAAATGAACTGCCCTCTTCCACATTGCTGGACATAATGTTCCCTTTAGTATAAGGAAAAAGAAAATACAGGGGGGCTTCAAAAAACTCATGGGATAATGGAATGGAAAGGCAGTGGAATTTTTTTTGAACTTTTGGAAGCCCCCTTATACACATTGGGTAAACTTTATATAGGTGTTGCGTGCACTGTGCTAGTTATTTTGCCCTTGGCCTTGCCGCCCTCTCCATTCCTTAGGAAGCCCGCCCTTGACGAGGCCAGGTGTCCTAGGCCTTCCAGAGCATGATTGCTTTTTCCTGGGTCGCACGTTGGCTCTCATTAAGCGATTATCTGGCTTTCCTATTGGACTGGACCTGAGACCACGGGTGCTCTGCTCACTGTTGTGTTGCCATTGTTCCATCCACCCAGCACAGAATACACACACACACACACACACACACACACACACACACACACACACACACACACACACACACACGTGTGTGCCAACTGACTGCCATTTCACATGCTAAATCCCTGAGTACTTTTAGAAATTTGGGTGGCTAACAGGGAGTTTGGAAGAAAAGTCTGGTGATCTGCTCTTCAAAATATCAGCCACCAAAAGCCCCGTGGAGCACAGTCCTCCTCGAACCCACAGGGGTCACGAGGAGTCAGCTTCGAATCAGCAGCAACTGGTGCAACAGTAGGTTGCCCTTATGGAAAGATCGTCATCATGCTGTGTAGCCACAGAGGATGCTACTGAAACAGTGTGGCGCTCCAGTTTCTTCCTGGTGAGATCTCAACACCTGCCCGAGTGGTTACAAAAGGGTGGAAGGTAACATTGACACTGACTTCAATGCTTTTGTAGCATTTTAGCTAGTTTCAAAACTAGCGCGCAGACACACACACACACACACAACTATAAATATTCTCCCAAATTAACAGTGGTTATTTCTGCATTATAACGTTGTGGCTGGCTTTATTTTTTCATTGCCTTTCCAGCTCTCTCTAAGGAATTTGCAATTTTATAATCAAGAAATATCAGAATATAATCCTTGATAGTTTTATAATCAGAAAAAAAAAAGAGCCCCACAATAAAAACAGGCCAGTTTTAGTGTGTACAGACTTCAGGTAAGTCCAGAAAGTTTACTAGCCGCTGACCATCTTGACCTCCAGGAGCACTTCCGTCTGGCTCACAGCAACCCTTAGGACAGAGCACAACGGGCCTTTGGGGTTACCTAGGATGTAAATCTTTATAGGACCAGAACGCCTCCTCGTTATCCTGTGGAGCAGTAGGTAGGTTTGAACTGCAGACTCTGGAGTTAACAGCCCAATGTATAACTCCCTGCACCCTCAGGGCTCCTGTATAAAAGTAGTTACCTATATTCTCTATTATGCTTATATTCTATATTAAATTTATTTTATTAAATGTATATTAAATAAGAACAAAACTATTGCACTCAAGTCAAAGATACCCTATATAGGGCTTCCAAGGTCTGCTGCCCCATTTGCGTGTGTATCTCTGTGTACATACATACACACGTATGGACTCCCCATAGGATTTCCAAGGGCCTACCACCTCCTTAAAAAAAAAAAAAGAATGTTTTGAGAATGATGATGGCAACAAATGTACAAATGTGCTTGACACAATGGATGTATGTATGGATTATGATAAGAGTTATACGAGCCCCCAATAAAATGATTTTAAAAAGAAAAAATTACTCAGCACTTTCCTGGCCAGTACAAACTTCTATACTATAGCCCATTATTCAGGATAAAGTCTAGGTATCTGCTTCCCTCACTCCTCAGTGTTGTTCGTTTTGGAAAACCCTGCTGGGAATCTCGTTGGCTGCAGGTAGTCTCATCTTTCTTTGTTGGAGAAGCAGCTGCTGGTTTTGAACCACTGACCTTAAAGTCAGCATTACCTAATGGTAATGCTTACCATTACAGCACCACCAGGGCTCCAAACATGTATATATCTATCTATCTATATATATATATATGTATATTTACATATGCACACATTCAGTTTCATTAAAGTCAGTTGAAATATTATTTTTCTAGTAACTCTTTTTAAAGTTCCCTTGGAACTGCCTGACTAGATTGTCATACCTTTTGTGTTTGATTCACTTTGGTAATTTCATTTCCTGCATTTAATCCATCAGGGAAATGGCTGTTCTCTTTTTAGGGTTTTGAAAAGGTCTATGGGGTGTGCAATCCAAGTCTAACCTGGGAATGCCAGTCTGCTCTTAAATCTTCCTCAACACAAATGTAGCTCATTAGAATCGCTGGGGTAAATGAAGAGATCATTCCCAGACCCAGGAGTTTTTGTAAATCCAGGTGATTTGTTTTCTACTTGCCCGCTTCCCTAGCATAATGAAGCAGTGATGGATTAGCCTGAGACTGCAGCAGAGATGGGAGGAAAATCTCCCGGCATCCCTTCCTCCTGCAGGTCTCCGCAGCACTAGCAGCCTGGGTAGCTGCCACTTTAAGTGACAGGTCTCAGACTGGAATCGGGGAAGCTCTGGGGTGCTGTCAGCTGCCTCGGGAACTTCATGGCTTATGCCTGCCTGATGGCCGGGAGCCTCGCTGGCACCAAGAAACAAAGCAGACATTGAGCATTTTGTTGGCTTTTCGTCTTTTTTGTTGGCTTAAAAAAAAGCCGGTAGAATAGAGGGAACGACCTCTTCACAGCAGGACCGTGTCTGTTCCTCCAAAGTTAACAGCCGCTTTGAATCTGTGAGTATGTGGGATTTATGTAGCGGTTCTCCTGGGTCGGATTATCGTGTTCTCTTGAAACCTGTGAAGATTTAACAGAAGGCAAAAGCTAGGTTGATTTTAAAAATCAGAAAACATTTTCATCGGGGACCTGCAGTTTTTGCTGTCTTCCTCAAAGGCTTCATTTCAGGCTAGCTAGGAAGTCTGAGCCCTCCCTCCCTTCTGGGTTTGTTTAACTTCCTAAGGGCAGAACTCGCAGAAAACAGCATCCCGTGCTGCTGGAGGAGGTCCTGGTCCTCCCTGATGCCATGCCGCCACAGCTGCTCTGCCGCGCTGCCAGGTGTGTGGGGAGGCGGGGGCTCCGCTGCAGAACAATGGCAGGATCACGTTGGCTCACTTGGTACTTGCTGGGTCTGTCCAGATCCTCTGCCGGCTTCCTAATAGGGTCCATTGTTTTGCCAGGGGCATTAAAACCTTGCGGATTGCGTCAGGAGGCATGCTCAGAGATGCAGGTTGTTGACAGCATCGACCTTCACCTCCTGACGGGCGGGCTGGGCTCATCAGGTCTCTTTGTGGCAGAGGATGACAGTGCACGGGCGCACAGTGACCTGGGCGTCACCACCCTTTCCTAATTGTGCGTTTGCGATGGGGCCATTTTCTGCCTGACGCAGACCCTGAAGTCTCAACGTCTGCCCTTAGGCACTTTGCCCCACTTTCCCTCCTCGGGCTTCATTAGAGGCTAGAATTGTGCCCTCGCTGGATTTTTATTGAATCCACTCTGAACATTTTGGAAAGACAGGGGTCTTTCCAAAGACCTAGCATAACACCCCCCCTCCCTGTAGTTTTTCCCCTTTTTTTGACAATTTAACTTTTTTATGATACACGTACAACGTATTGACGGCAGTGACAGTAACTGGCTATGCAGCCCCACCCTTCCTAAGTGTGACTTTCCTGCCACTCGCAGTCCTCCCCTCTTTCCTTGCTGACCACTAATAAACTTCGGTGGCGGTCCATCTGCCCTTCCCTGTCATTATATAAGCGAGGTCATACAATAGTAGGCCTTTTGCAATTGGCTTATTGCACCCAGCACCGTGTATTCAAGCTCCACCCATATTGTCTCAAGTCTCCAGGTGTCGTTTCTCCCTCCGAGTAGGACTCCATTGTATGGAATGTGCACGTACACATACAGATCCACACGTTTGGTTCCGTCACCGCTGTTGGATGTCTAGGTTGTTCCCTTTAGCCTTGTGGCTAGTGTCAGTACCACGTCTCTGTTGCCGAGTCTCTCTTTCAACCCGTGTGAGTGTATACCTAGTCATATGGTCCCACTGGTAGCATGTAGATCCTGACTCATTGCGACCCTACATGGGACAATAAGGCTGTCAATCTTGACAGGACAGGATAGCTTCCCTTTTCTCCTGAGGAGCAGCTGGTAGGTTTGAACCGACAACCAGTGGATAGCAGTTCACAGCAAAACCAGGGTGCTTCTGATAGTTCTGGGTTTAGTGATTTTAGGAACTGCCATACTGCTTTTTCACAGTGGCTGTAGTTTTCAGCAGTGGGTCTGGGTTCCAATTTCTCCACATCCTCATCAACATTGTTATTTTCCTTTAAATTTTTTTTACTCCTGGGGGAGTACATGGTCTCTGATTCAGGTTTCAATTTCCAATCTCTGATAGCCACGGATGCTGAGCAGCTTCGCGTGTGTCTGCCAGCACGTGAACATCCTCATTGGTGACATGCCTCTCTGTTCAAGTCCTCGGCCCATTTTATCACCGGATTGAGCTGCCCTCTCTTTGTTGTCAGGTGACTGGAATTTTAGAGATATTCTGGTTATTAGATTCTTGTAGGGCAGGTCGTTTCTGAGGCGATTTCCCCCAGTCAGGAGCTTGTCTCTTCACCCTTTATGGAAAGCCTTTTGTGGAGCCATAGTTTCCCCTTTACTTAGTGTGTCTTCTGCTGGGTGCCTGCTCCCCACAGGTGTCCCTGCTTGTCTGTCAAGTCAAAGCCTTAGCCTTCAGTGCACTGATGCCACTGGGTTGCCGATCTCATTCTTCCTTCAGCTGAAAGCTGCGTTCGCCAAAGAGAGTTCCAAAGGTTGGTGTGCTCCCACTCCGAGCGGCCCTTTTTGTCGAGGCAGGGTGTACTTGATCAGGCTGACTTAAATTGGGCAAGCTTTCCTGGGTTCCAGGATGATGGTTGGTTTCCCGAGTGTAAAATAAGTCAGGGATTTTAAAAAAGCTTTCTCCACCACCCGGAGATCAAACATCTATCTGTTGCTTTTATTTTTAAAAGTATCATCATACCTAGATGCAGCAACTTTGAATTTAGTGGGGAAAAATTCCTAAAAAAAAGTTAGAAAACTCTGACTTACCTTGAGTATAATACAAAGGGTGTTCAGTCACTCCTGTGTTTTACTTGGTCAGGAAATGTTTGCATTTGTCCCAAGGCTCATGCCAGGTCTGGGGGATATAATTCTGAACATGAGATTACATCTACCCTTAGGGAGAGGGGATTTTAAGCAAATGAGCATGGCATTCAAAGACCAGTTGCCTAATTACTTCATTGTAATTGCAGTCCTTTTTCAGTTCTAGGAGTAGAATCTCTTTTCTGGCAAATACAGACGCATGCAAATGTGAGGAGCCCTGTTGGCATAGGGGTTACGCATTGGGTTGCTGCCTGCAAGAGCAGCAGTTTGAAACCACTAGCTGCTCCTCAGGAGAAAGACAAGGCTTTCTACTCCCATAAAGAGCTCTAGGAAACCCGTCGAGGTAGGTCTACCCAGTCCTATAGGATCGAGACTGGATAACAGTGAGTCTGGTTTGGTTGAGTTTATATTATCTAATGTTGTGGTTTTCCCAGAGTGGGCAGTACAGCCCCCCACCCCCACCCCCCGGAATGATCCAGGAAATTACAAAAGCAGATGCCTATACTTTATCTTGGACGATGGGCTATAGTAGAAAAGTTTTTAATTGCCAAGAGGGTGCCGAGCAGATTTTTTCCCCCCTGAAAGGGAGTGGTATGCCAAATAAATTTGGGGACCTGTGATTGTGTTTGTGAAATACATGATTTAATATATGTGTTTGATATTTTCTCACATGCATCACAACCTGTCAACTTCCTTAGTAAACCCTGCAGGACTTTGTCGTTTGACTGAACCTTTTGTGAACCTCGTTCTGCTCCTCTGTAAGTGAAGAGCAACCGACAAAGTCAATGTTAAAGAGACTGGCACAGAAGATATTTCTGTGTATACCTGTATAGAGCCCTGGTGGCACCGTGGTTATCCTTTGGGCTGCTAACTTCAAGGGCACCAGGTTGAAAACTCCAGACGTTTCAAGGGAGAAAGACGGGGCTTTCTGCTCCTGTGGAGATTAATCTTGGAAACTCACAGGGGCAGCCCTTCCCTGTCCTGCAGGGTTACTATGAATCAGCATTGGTGACTTTTCCCCCTTATTTTTCTGATTTGAATCCAGTGACTTGTAAGCACACTTTTGAACACAGCAGTTTTTACGTGCCATTTGGTGTCTACGGAACCAGGCAGTGAGGGAGGTAAGAACAGCTTGTTGCCATGTCTTCATTTCTTCACTTTCATCTCTTCGTGGAGAAGAACGTAAACTTTAACTTTAACAAATATCTTCTGTGCCAGTACAGACAAGGCCATTCCCACCACTATCTACTGGTAGAAAAGACAAACCACACACATTCTAGTACATTAAGACCCGAAGGTTCATTTTATTTTGTCCCTCAATTTGTGGCTGTTTTCATGACTTTTGGTATCAGTCAGGTACGGGGAATGAATTTGCTATACAGGGATGCTACTGCTTGAAAAAGGTTGTGTGTGTGTGTGTGTGTGTTTTAAACTAAGCTAATTATTAAGGGAGGGGCAGTGGCAAAGAAATGGTTTCTATTGGGCCTAGTTTACTGGGCTATGGAAAGGCTCAAGTTCTGCCCCCACCCCACTTGCTAAGCAGATAATGACTACTGCCCGAACCTGCGAGAGAAATTCGAGTCTTGGCCCCATTCTTCCTAGCTTTCTACAGTTATCCCCTGCAGAGCCTTGAAATGAGATATTCCATAGTATATAGTATACTTTAAAAGAAACCACTCATACCGCCTGAATGATCACAAAAGAACTACTACACCTGTGGGCTGATGAAATAGCAAAGGAAACCACGAGGGGAATTCATACGAAACTCATGTCCTGTTGGGCTCTCTTCAACTGAGCACCTACGTCTTTCTGGGTAAGTTAGGGAATGTGGGGAAAACAAAACTGTCAGGTCATTTCTTGCCTGGTTGAGTTAGCAGAATCAAGTCTTGGTGACTGTCTTCATGTTAGTCTGGAGAAGGGTCTCCAATTATCACAGGACTGTCCTGGTCCAACATGTTTCTCAGGACACGGACACACACACACACACACACACACACACACACACATGGAAGATGGTCTCTTTGATTTTCCTCTCTCTGCTTTGCTCACAATGGGCAGAGACCCACAGTTGTACCTTAGAAGGTTGCTCGTAGTTTTTAAGACCCTTGCCATGACTTGCTGAAGTTGAGTGTGTGGAACATTGTCTTGTGGACTCTATTGCTCCAGGTGAACTTGGGGTTTGAGGGGAAGAAAGAAAGAAAGACAAAGAAACACACACAAGTTGACCCCAAACAGCGTGACATTGCAAACCAGCATCTGCTTCATACATTGAGCTTAATGAAACCAGCCAGGGGCTGCTCGTGTGGCCTCTGTCCAGGGACTTCCCGAAATGCCAAGCAGAGCTGCCGCGAAGCCGGAGTGTAATGGTCCGTCCCAGGGCGGGTCCTGGGCTGAGCGGCTCACCTCTTGTCATAGCACTGGCCTTGCGAACATTCTCTCACCTTTATGTGGTGGCTCAGTTTCTGCAGTGACTTTATGAAACTGAGGGCACTCTTTCTTCACACGCCCTTGTTATCTGCCCCTATCGGCCCCTCCTCCCGACCCCGTGTCTGCACAGGAGGACCCCAAGAGGCCCACCAAGGTGACAGACGTG